CAATGCAAATTTTGTTCGAAACTGAGGGCCAAAATGATGAAAAGAACAAGATCACGATTTTTTCTATGATTTCAATTTATATACAATAAGATGAAAATTTTCTAAACATATGTCACATAAATACATTGAGTTATATAAAGAGAATAAAAATCGTAATGAAAGCACAGAAACTTTAAATTGGGAATATCTCTGGACACAGAGTATGGATGAAACCCCGTATCTTTTTTTAACTTTTCATACTATTACAAAATTTCTTACATTGGTCTTGTATTATTTTTATAAAGGTGTCACAGAATGAGATCAGTAATGAATCTGTAAAGAAAGGTTGTATTACTTAATACTGAATGAATGAAGGTTTTTATAGGTAGTCAGTCAGTGAGACAAAACATTAAACACAAGTTACATGAAATGTGGCTTCAGGTAACTTGAATCACACAGAATACCTGGATGTCCCATGTATTACATGGAATAATGTTAAAAGTACAGTGACTCTCCTATTAAAACTGATGTCATTGGTTAAGACTATTTTTTTTTGTAAACAACTGTTTTAAATAGAGGGTTCACCCCAAGTATTAACCTATGAAAGCTTACTTGCAATGGAGAAAGAAATTGATCATTATTTTGCAGAGAGAAAGAAAAAATGAATTTAATATGAAAGGAACAACAATAAAAAAAGAGTATATGATTTGGATGTGATGTCCAGGAAACACTTGGTTCTACGTTTCTTTTTGTTCTTTCTCCTCTTTGCTTTTTTTTTTTTTTGTGGGGGAAGGGGGTTGGTTGTTTGTTTTTCTTCGGTGAAAGAATACATTGAATAGTTTAGATTATTCCCATATAGAATGTATTACAATTTAAAAACTGGCACAGAATGGAAAACACAAGTCAAAATCATTCTCAATCAACTCCAAGCAAGCACATATTCACCAAGAATTTTACATATCGTGAGTGAACTACTCAGGAGAGTGACCAGATCTCCATGACAGAAAGGCCTGGTGGTTCTCTCCAGTGTGGCAATGGTGCTCTCTGAGGGACACAGTCAGAGAATAATGACAGTCCCTCCCAGACAGTTAAAAATAGCACATCAATTTGAAGTGTAATTTCAGGATAAAAAATGTCTCATACCTAAACAATGACCTAGGAAATATGATCATTCAACTATGTAACTCTACACCAATTAATTCTATATATAAATGGAACCCTTGGGACTATTTCACTTAAATTCTAAACCACAATATCATAATCCTGAATATCAATGATTATTAACCTTCGTCTATTGTGTGTGTGCATGTGTGGGAAAAGACTGGGAAATTCTGACAAATTTAAGTGAGGTAGAAAAGATTATAGAACTGAAGAAACATAGATATAAAATCATCCCAACTCTTAGTAAAATAGCCTCCTTGTAATAATCAGAGAATAACTCCAATGGCTACAAACCAAAAAAAATCTATAGAAAAATCCCTGAAATGAACGAAAGTGATTTAGAACTACAATTATATAGAATTAAAGCCAAGCGAAGCCACCTTTAAAAACGTACATTATAATAGTAAATACAATAATATAAATGAAGAGTCTGGGTATAATATTTTCGAGCATTATCTCTCCCAACTACATTGTAATAGCTCTACTTCATTTCTTCCTCCCACACACATACATACACATGCAAACACATATTTGCACAAATACCCACAATAGAAGCCATCTATCTCATAATACATATTACTTTCCAAATAAACTTAGTGATTAGCTCAGTTAAAAAATAGCCCTTGCTCTAATAATTCTTGATAATACTTCATTTTCTCTTCTTAGATGTTTTTAACAATCTTTTGAAATATGCTTCTTATACTGATACCCGTTTGTGACGGAACACATTCTTTCTTCACAGGACATGGAAGACTTTGTCCAGAGCTCTGGAGAGAATGGTGTGGTGGTGTTTTCTCTGGGGTCAATGGTCAGTAACATGACAGAAGAAAGGGCCAATGTGATTGCTTCAGCCCTTGCCCAGATCCCACAAAAGGTTAGATAAAGTGCCTGATGTTGGACAGATACTGAAAGAGTTTTAAACTTTGTAAAGAACACAGCTGCAGAAATTTTCCATCCAAAAAGTTATCTGTTAGGATACCTCTACTTATCTCACATATCACCTCAAAAACTCAAATATATAGGGAAGATGCCACAGTAGTGAAGAGGAGGGTTTTCATTTATAAAAACTTTGACATTAACATTGTGATCATAACAAATATACTGAAAAGGTGCAGTGAAGATTTGATATTATTAAATATCATGGTATTGCAAGCACGTACACAAAATCACCAAATTCTACCCTGTCATTTAATCCTATTGTAACAGACTTCCTGAGGGCACCATATACACTACAGATATTATTAGAAAGGAGTTAAATTTTAGTGAGTTTCTGCACTAGCACAATAACTATAAGCAGGTATTGAAAAAAGTCTGCAATGCATTGCAGTTTAGGATTCCCATGTGATCTGGCCTTTTGTACCTCCTATAAATTTGGAATAAGCCTATTTGGTGTGCTGTTCAGGATGCTATTGAAGGAAAGGATGATTGGGCTGAGAAATCACTATTCCAGGTACCCATATAGCCAAATAGAATTAAAGAAAGAGAACCTTACCCACCTTGCTGGTCGGGGCCTGGATGTAATGCAAAGATGCAGATGGGATCCTGCTCTTACCGTAGAACCTGTGCATTATAAAATGTGGCTCCACAGACTCTGATCAAACCACTAGACAAACACCTCCTTTGGATTGAGGAAGGAGAATAGAATAAAGGAAGTAGTCAATGAGAATGAAGGCAGGAATGGGAAGAGGTTCAGATGCCCCTTCCATAAGATATAGTAGGAAAATATTTCCCATTAATAATATATAGAATACAATTGCAATCTATGTGTATTTGCGAATTACTTTTTAAGTTTTCCATCTGACATAGAATTCTCCTAATGACCTGTGCTACTTTTTAGCTGAAAACTCAAAATACTTCAACACTAAGATAGCAAGTGGAAGGTAAACATTTCTAAACTTTATTCAAGTTGATAAGGATTGCCTGGAAATTCTACAATAAGCTTATTTTGTTGCTGGGCATGGACATGGCTTAGTTATAGCAGACCATAGGAATCACTGCTGTAGCCTATCATCTAAGTGTTAGTGATCTAGTAAGCAAAATTTAGCAAAATACAATTTTAGACTTTTTCAACAGCTGGGTTGTTATTCATAAATTGACCACCAGTTCTATTTTTCTACATTGAAAATATATTCAAAACTAGAAATGGTGGTAACACTCTGAATTTGTGTCAAAAATTGCCACTTACACTATTTCTTGGAAGAAGTGCTTAATAAATTCTACCTAACAGCAGTCATGCATACTACCAATGCAGCATTGGTATCTTTCTCACAAGTAGCTCTTCTTACAGTTATTTTTGTAACTCAAATAATGTCAAACTGTAAAGAAATTAATTATATAAAAAGTAGATATAAATGAACTGCTACTCATATCACTCAAATGCTTGAGGTGACAGATACCACAATTACCATGGTTTGAAATTTACACATTCTATGCCTGTAAGAAGACATCATGTATGCATATGTATAACTATTAAGTGTCCAACATAATTAAATGTAAACATTTAAAGGAAGGAATAAACAGAATATTAAATTTAGAAGATGGAAGCTCATAGAAAATACACAAATAAAATAAATGCAAAGATCATTACTGATGTGTGTGTTTTATGCATACATTGTCAGTTTCTTAAATACTTGAATTTACCATTGAAAGCATCATTCGCCTAAGTTACTTAAAATTCTTTATATACCAAAGTGATTGCAACCATAAGCACATGAAATCTGGTTATTCTATTTACCTCAGAGTTTTAGTAGTTCTCATTACTTAACAACCTTGTTCTCATTTCTTCATCTTTTATATGGAGGGGATTTAACTAGATGATTGATAACCCTTTTAGAGTTTTACCATGCCATAACTTTGGAGTTCCACCATGGAACAAGATATTTTCTTTACCCTAACAGGTTCTATGGAGATTTGATGGCAAGAAACCAGATACCTTAGGACCCAATACTCAGCTGTACAAGTGGTTGCCCCAGAATGACCTTCTTGGTGAGATACTGGAGAAAAAATACTGAATATGTGGCTAACAGCCTATTAGAGTGATAGTAGGTCAACAGCAACTAACATAGAGAATATTTATTTTTGAAAACTCTAACATAAACCTAACTACTTTATATGTATTTTCAAGCCCTAGGAGGGAAGAATAAACTATAACAGTTGGCATTTTGTTACATACACCCATATTCTTTATGTCCAAAACCAAAGTATCTTTATATGAGGTGTAATTGCTTCTCAGATAATTTTTCAATAGCTTCCTGGGTTGTCTCTCTGTCTCCTATTTCTACAACTTGACCCCTAACCTTTTCCCTACTGCAAGGTTATTCCACATGACACTGAAAGATCCCAGTTGCTCTTCTATTACCAGTGACTCTGCATTTTCTATGGGAATAAATCCCTAGGCGTTATTATAAAGTATATATAATTCACCTTCACAGTGAAGTGTGGCCTGTCCTTCCTCTGATTTCAGCACTGCTTCCATGACACTCCTTGCTGCCTTGGACACTCTACATGTCAGACTCAGTGACTGCACTATTTCTTTAAGAGAACATGTTGTTGTTAATACATGCCCAATCTTTTTCTTTTTTTCTTCCTTTTTTTATTTTTCACACATTTTATTTCTTTTATACAAAATGTGCTTTTCAAGTGGTGTCACTGGTGTAGTGATATCATGCAAAATGTGCTCTTTCATCTTTTCTGCTTGCTAATCTTGTCTTTCATTTTTCCATTCTCAAGTCACACACCATTTTTTCCATGCAGCCTTCACTTACCTCTCCAGCAAAAGTAGGTGCTTCTTCCTCTGAAATCTGAATGCAATTTCAGGGCAGTTTCATGGGTATTCTAATCTGCTATCTAGAAAACATTGCTGCTCTCAGTGTCCTATATTGTGCATTTCTCGTTTTATTCCTAAGACTTGTGATGAATAATTTTTCTGAATTTCACCCAATTCTAGGTCATCCAAAAACCAAGGCTTTTATAACTCATGGTGGAGCCAATGGCGTCTATGAGGCCATCTACCACGGGGTCCCTATGGTGGGCATTCCTTTGTTTGCGGATCAACCACACAACATTGCTCAGATGAAGGCCAAGGGAGCAGCTGTTAGATTGGACTTTGAGACAATGTCAAGTACAGATTTGTGCAATGCTTTGAAGACAGTCATTAATGACCCTATGTGAGTACATTAATTTTTTTGCTAGGTGGTATTTATAGATACGTTCTCTTTTCAACAAGGAAGATGAGATTCAGCCCTTTTTCAGTAGATTAATATTGAAAGTATTTAAATTATGTAAGCAATGTGAAATCTGCTTTTATTTTCCACCAGTTATTTCACAGTTGCATTGAACACCATAAATTTAATGGGGAAACAATTAGTGCAAAAATCTTCTACATAAAAATAACTTTGGATATATAGATAAGTATAAAAAAGTTGAATTTTAAAAAACAAGACAGAATTCACAGTTAAAAGCAGTAATGAACTTATAAATATGAGAAAATGTTTTAATTCAATTCCTAAAATTTCTGAATGTGTTACTTTCTTCTTGCACCCGAATTTACTTTTATATTATCATTACTTTAATAGTTTTGATAATGAGATATAATTTACAATGAAAAGCAGTAATGAACTTATAAATATGAGAAAATGTTTTAATTCAATTCCTAAAATTTCTGAATGTGTTACTTTCTTCTTGCGCCCGAATTTACTTTTATATTATCATTACTTTAATAGTTTTGATAATGAGATATAATTTACAATGCATAAAATTCACCTATTTAGAGTATAAAATGTAAATATATTTAGTATCTTTAAAGAATCGTGAAGCCATCACCATAATATAATTTTAGAACTTTTTTATCAACCCCAAAGAAACTCAATAGGGCATAGATACCTTTTCCAATAAGCCCCTAACCCAAGGTGAATACCAATTTATTTTTGTCTCTACGGATTAGCCTTTCTAGAAATCTGACATAAATGGAAGCATATAATTTATGGTGTTTTGTAAATTTTTGTAGTTTTTTTCACTAGGCATTATTGTTTTGAGTTTTATGCATGTGGCTGCAAGTATCAGTATTTTGTTCCCTTTTATTGCTATATAATATCCTTTAGTATATGAATATACCATAATTAATCCATTCATTTATCAGCTCATGGACATTTTGTTTGTTCCAATTATAAACATTGTTATGCACGTTTTTGTGTGAAAATATGTTTTTTATATTATGGC